CGAGAGAATTCCACGCCTGCTATGCCCTGGACAACAGGGGCGCATATCAGCCACGCTGAGGGACCACCCCCCTGCGATTTCCCTGCGGTGTCGAGAAGGTGCCTGCGATGTTATGCCCTGGACGACCAGGGGGCGCATAGCGGCAGCGCTGAGGGACCACCCCTTGCGCACCCCGTACGGTGTCGAGAAAGGGCCTCGCCTCCTATGCCCTGGACGACCAGAGCGCATAGCGGCCGCGCTGACGGACCACCCCCTGCGGTTTCCTTGCGTTGTCGAGAAGGTGCCTCGCCTGCTATGCCCTGGACAGCCTGGGCGCATATCTGCCCCGCTGACGGACCACCTTTTGCGCACCCCTTATGGTGTCGAGAAAGTACCATGCCTGCTCTGCCGTGGACGACCAGGGCGCATAGCGGCCGCGCTGAGGGACCACCCCCTGCGCCCCCCCTATGGTGTCGAGAAATAGCACGCCGGCTATGCTATGCCCTGGACGACCGCGGCACATAGCGGCCGCCGCCGCGCTGAGGAACCACCTTTTGCGCACCCCTACGGTGTCGAGAGACGCCTTGCGACATTGACGCGTATAGAAACCAGGGTGAAAGACCACGCCCTACGCACCCCCTTCTGGTGTCGAGAAACGTCCTGCGCAACCGCAGCGTATGTGTTGTGTGGTGTGCGTGTCATGTGGGTGATTCGGTCCGCGTTTGTATGTATATGATGTGTGTGTGCGCGGTTGAACGTGGACGCGTGCCTGCTGTATGTGTGTGATGCGCGTGCGTGTGCTCTTTGCATGCGCATGTGACTGCATGTTCGTGTGTGTGTGTGTGTGTCGGAGTGTCTGGTGCGTGCGCAAATGCAGGTGAGAAGGAGAAGAAAGGAGGGAGGTGAGGGAGACGTGGGTGCGACGAGGCAAGGGGGGTCGTCGTCGGGAAAGGATCGAGAAACACACACACACACACACAACAAACATAACATCTGTTTGACATTAAGCAGCAACAACAACAGTAACAACAACAACAACAACAACAACAACAACAACAACAACAACAACAACAAAACTGCCCCGCAGAGCCTCGCGGCCCCCGCTGCCTGCGGCGCGGCGCAGGTCCTCGCCAGCGAGTACTACGCGGACCCCCAGGCACGCGGGTGCCCCCTGGGCGGGCGGCAGACGGCAGGGCCAGGAACACCGTCGTCGACGTCATTGTCGAGGCCGTCGTCGTCGGAGGCGGAGGAGGAAGGAGAAGCCTACTCCCCCTCCTCCTCCATTCCTCCTCCTCCTTCCTCCTCCTCCCCTCCTCCTCCTCCTCCTCCGCCTCCTCCTCCCTCCTCCTCCTCCTCCTCCTCCTCCTCCTCCTCCTCCCTTCTGCTACCCCCCGACAAAATCAGAAGACTCCTCATGCTCCTCCTCCTCCTCATCATCACCTGCTCCTCATCCTCCTCGTCCTCCTCTCCCGTCCTCCTCCTCCCGTCCTCCTCCTCCTCCTCCTCCTCCTCCCCTCCTGTTCCTCCTCCTCCGCCTCCTCCTACCCCCCGACAAAAGAAGAAGACTCCCCATCTTCCTCTTCTTCCTCTTCCATCCTCTTACTCCCCCTCCTCCTCCCTCCTCTTCCTCCTCCTTCCTCCTTCACCCTCCCGCTCCTCCTCCTCCATCACTTTCCATTATAAGCGTCTTCGCCCTGTCGCACACCCAGACGTGTCCGTGGGCTGGGCCGGGCGTTTCGCTCGAGAGATCTTGAAGCACGCAACCTGCAACAGTCTCAAGAATGGTAAGCTGGTTGTTTTCAAGATGCATAGTTCGCTTTCGTGTTGCGCACACTCGTCTTAACAGTTTGCAGCAGCTTCCAGGATAGAGGGCAGATCGTTTTCAAAATGGAGCTTTTGCCGTAGCGCCGCGCACAGTCGCCTTGTAAGTTTGAACCAGCTTCAAGGATGCAGACCGGCTCCTATGCCAAATGTAGCTCTCCCTTTCTAGCGCCGCCCACATTCGCCCAAGAAGTGCTGGGTGATGGCCCCAGAACTGGATTCTAGCGCGATTTGGTGTTGTCAGGATGCAATGTTGAAGTGGGTTTGTGGTGTTGAAGTCACAGGGACAGTCTTCTGGCACGACTCAGGACTGCCAGGCCGCAACGGCCACGTTGATCCGCGGCGTTGGAGTCTTGGTGCTCTGGCACGATGCAGGATGTTCTAATCATTCCGAACTCATGGTGTGAGTGTCCAGCTGGTGGGGCTGGGATGCTGTATGATACTTCGCAGTGGCTGTAAGTGAGGAATAAAACGCCTCTCAAATGCAACCGCCGTGTTTTCCGCCAGTGCTTGAGAGGAAAAAAATGTTCTAATCATTCCGAACATTGACGGGTGCCCGAGTCCGATCAAAGTTACAATCACATGCTGTTGATGCATTGTTTGTTTGTTGTCTTGGCGAGGCATCTCCCCTTTCGTGGAGTCTGGGGCAATGAAGTCCTTCCTTTCTTTGAATTGCTCGGGCGGTTGGCTTTCAGTGGGCCACTTCCTCCACTAGAAAGAAATTATTGTGGGGACCTCCGACGAAAGAAGTTGGAGGCAGGGTTTATTGCAACATCGTTCATACATATTTGTTTAACACTGGTCACCATCCATCCCTTCTCCTTTCAAATAACTCCTCCCTGCTGCCCCCCAGACGGGTCGGTAGCGCGGCTGGGCGTTTCGCCAGCGGTCTCACAATACCATTCATGATATTGAAGCTTGAACTTCGCAACAGCTTCACGGATGGAGGGCGGTCGTTTTTTACATGCGATTCTCGCATTAGCGCCGCGCACATTCGTTTCTAAAGATTGCAACAGCTTCAAGGATGGAGGGCGGGTGGTCTTCTAAATGTAGTTATCGCTTGAGCGTCGCGCATATTGGTCTGAAAACTTTGCATCAGGGTCACGCATGGAGGCTGGTTCCGTTTCAAAATGTGGTTATTTTTGTAGCGCCGCGCACGTTCGTAAAATTTGCAGCAGCGTCAAGGGTTCGTATGGTTGAGTGCTTGACTCTCCGCGTATCGCCACCAGTTGCCCGCCCTAGCTTGCACGGCGTTCGACTCGCTTTCGCGCGCCCGCGTACCAAAAGGCTTCCCCACCAGCCCATACAGAAACAATTGCCAGGGGAGTTGCTCTAATCAGGGCAGTGTGGAAGAGCGTGGTGGGGGCCGCAGAAGCGGCGGGCCCATTTCTGGAATGGTTGAAGAAATGATCCCTTGCCGCCCCTGCTTTCTTGGAGTCTTCTTGGATGACTTCTTAGAGCTATCCTGCATCGATCTCCGGTTGAAAGGATTCATGCGCACTTGCTTTGCGTTGTGTCCAGGACTGGGCACACGATTTTCGTGGTGTCCTGAATTGGTAGGAGTGAGTTTCCAGGAGAGCTGCCTGAAGCAGAAATTTGTAGAACTACGCATAGGAGCGGTGCCCTTAGAAGCGTGCAGGGGCCGCAGAAGCTGCGGAAGTATTTGTCGAAGGTCTTGACGCATAGTCTCGTGAGCCCCGTTTGTTTGTAAGTATGTTGGGATGTGTTCTTGGAGTTATATTTGGGTCCTTCCGCCTTCTCATATTCATGCAGGACGAATAGAAACAATTGTCAGGCGAGGTGCCCGCGTCGGGGAAATGTAGATGTACAAAGCGGCACGACCGCTTCGGAAGCATGTCGGGGCCGCAGACTCGGCGAGAACAGAAGTTGGATGATCTAACGAATTTTCGCATGACACGGCGGCCGTATCGCAGTTTTCACTGGCCTTTCTGGAATTACCTAGGGGCTCTTTCTGCCCCGAAAGATCCGCGGGAAATCGAATCTGATCTGCATACAGAGCCGTTGCCAAGGCGAGTTGTCTGAGGAATTACCTGGACACCCCACATGAGCAACCGCTAAGGACCATCGAGGCGGATGAGGATGCGCAGGGGGGGGGGAGGTTATGACCGACCTGTAGGAGCTTGATGCGCAGGCGAGAGAGGAGGAGGAGGAGGAGGAAGAGGGGGAGGAGGAACAAGGGAAAAGGAGGAGGAGGAGGAGCAGGAGGGACGCGGCACGAGCTTTGAGCTTTCGAGGGGAGGGGGACCTGAATGTCGTACCCCCCCTCTTTTTGAACAGTGGGTCCCAAGGCTCCATAACCAGCAAAAGAGGGGGCCCCTCTTTGCAGAATCTCTCTCTGGACCTTGCAAAGACCCTGCAAAGTTGAGATCTGGGACGTCTCTTGGGGCCGTCTTGGCGCCCATGCCTCAAACAGAGGGGGTGATTGGTCTAGCCCCCCCCCTCGCCCCTCGGAGGCTCAAACATTGCCTTTTAGGGGCCCTCTTGGGCCGCTCTTGGACGTCGGTTGGGCGTTCTTGGGTCTGCTTGGGGGCCCTCTTGACCGAGGCCATCCCGAGGCCATCCCGAGGCCTCCGAAGCGAGAAAGCAATAAGGCAAACACCATGGCGTTTCCTTTGGCGGCTGAAGGAATTGGGCGTCTTGGAGGGGTGGCCTAAGAAGGCTCGAAGGGCACTTGGAACCCTCTTGGGCCTGTCGCGGAGCCTTTTGGAGGTATGCCGGAGGCTATGTTGAGCCACCTTCGGCTGTATTGAGCCATCTTGGAGGCCGCCTTGGGCTGCCGAGAGCCCTCTTGGAGCCAGCGTGGACCGCCTTGGGCGCTCTAACCGATCCCCCCACCCCTTCGCATGCCCAGGGGAGGGGGTAGGGGGAGGGGTGAACCCCCCCCAAAGCAGACGGCAAAGAGTTACGGAAGAAAGGAGGCAGAACTCGTTGAACCACCTACGCTCAGAGGGGTGGCGGGATCCCCAGGAATCGCCTTATGGCACGAAGTGGCATTGCCAGGACGCACAGTCACATCGATCCAATGTGTTGAAGTCCCAGAAACGGCGCCCTGGTGCGATTAGAGATTGTCAGGGCGCAACTGTCACGTTGACTCGCGGCGTTCAAGTTCCAGGAATTGTGTGTTGGCACGGTTGAGGGTTCTCGGAAGGGTTTCTTACATGGGGCATTTCCTGCCATGAAAACACAAGGTTTATTGCAACATCGTCAGTGCGTCTTGGGTTTACACTGGTCTTCTTCCTCATCATCCTCCTTCTCCCTTTTGTTCCTTCTCCTCCTCCTCCTCCTTCTCCTCTTCCCCGCACCCCCCCCACACCCACCCACACACACACGAAAAACAAGAAGAGCCATCCTCACCATCCTCCTCCTCCTCCTCCTCCTCCTCGCTCCTCCTCCTCCTGCTTCTCCAGCTCCTCGTCATTCGTCTTCTCCTCCTCCTCCTCCACCTCACCCTCCTCCTCGCCCAGCAACATCATCATAGTCGTCGCCCTCATCCATGTCACCACCATCATCACCACCACCATCATCATCACCAAGTGCATCAACATCAGCATTAGTGTCATCACCAGCAGCAGCAACATCATCATCATCAGCAGCATCATCAGCAGCAGCATCAGCATCAGCATCACCATCTTCAGCAGCATCGTCATACTAACAATCAGCAGAATAATCGTCAGAATCATCACCATCATCATCGTCATCATCAACATCATCATCATCCTCATCATCGGCATCGTCATCGTCGGCACCAGCATCATCATCATCATCAGCATCAAAGACAGCACCACCCCCATGATCAGCATGATCAGCATCATCAGCATCAGCACCAACACCACCATCATCATCATCATCATCAACCGCAGCAGCATCAGTATCCTATCATCATGAGCATCGTCATCAGCAGCATCATCGTCATCATCATCTTCATCAGCATCATCATCAGCAGCAGTATCGTCATCGTCATCGTCATCACCATCAAGAGCACCACCACCATCATGATCAGCATCATCATCAGAATCAGCATCATCAACATCACCATCACCATCACCCGACGTCGACGACGACGACGACGACGACGACGACGACGACGACGACCTGGACGGTGCCCGTGAGGCGCTCGTCCAGATCGACATGAGCGAGTATTCCGAGAAGCACAGCGTCTCGCGCCTCGTTGGCCCCCCACCGGGCTACGTGGGCTTCGAGGATTGCCGTCAGGGGCAACCTCAGCGGCAACCTTAGGGGGGATTGGCTCAGTGGGTGATGATGCATCGACCCCCAATCACCCATTGATTGCCGATAGGGGCCCGATAGCCCACCTCGCCCAGGAACGTGCGGATTCGTGACCAGGGGCCTATTATGTATCGCCAAATCCAGGTGTCGATGTTTCCCCCCTAAGCCAGCCCCCCACTAACGTTCCCCCTCGCTACCGCCCGTCGTCATCGTCGACGTCGCAGTCGTCGTCGTCATTGTCGTAGTCGTCGTGAGATCCCCAAAGGCCTCCCGAGGTCTCTGGGGGAGCCGAGGTCACTGAGGGCCTCCAGATGCCCCATGGAGGGACTCTTGAAGCTTTCAAGAACCCCCTCAGGACAAGAAGGAGGACGGAGGAGGATGGAGGGGGAAAGTGATCACGCTTCGAGGAAACGATTCGACGACTAATGGCTCGACCGCGCAATCACAGCTCTAGGCGATTGGGCCCATGGAATGCGAAGAAGCCAGGGGTCCGAGCCATTCGCGCTTAAGAGGGAGCCAAAGAGAGAGAGAGAGAGAGAGAGAGAGAGAAAGAGAGAGAGAGAGAGAAACAAAAAAAGAGTGAGGGACGGAGGACGAGCGAGAGAGAGAGAGAGAGGGGGGGACAGGTGGACAGGCAGAAAGAGGCCCGCACAGACAGACGGGCAGGCATGACGGGGACGAAGTGGGGAGCGCAGATCGGCGGGTCTGGAGTTCAGCCCGTGCGCCAGCAGAGGACCCCCGCAGCGGGCAGCTGACCGAGGCCGTGAGGCTCGTCACAGCGAGCTGGGGGGGGCAGGATGGGGGGTCAGGGCTGCGATGGTCTCCTCCGCCTCCTCCTCCTCCTCCTCGTCCTCCTCCTCCTCGTCCTCCTCCTCCTCCTTCTCCTCCTCCTTCTCGTCCTCCCGTCATCCTTCTCCTCATCCTTCTCCTCCTCGTCCTCCTCTTCCTCCTCCTCTTCCACCTCCGTCTCCTCCCCTCCTCCCTCCTCCGAGTTCCCGAATTCCTCCTCCTCCTCCTCCTCCTCCTCATCATCATCATCATCCTTCTCCTCCGCCTCCTCCGCCTTCCCATGGTCCTCCTGCCGCTCCCGCCCATTCCTCTTCAGTTCCTGCTGCTGCTGATCGTCCTCGTCTTCTTCATCCTTTCACATCGTCCTCTTTCCCCTCTTATTCATCCTCATGCTCACCTGCCACCTGCTCCTCCTCCTCCTCCTTCTCCTCCTCTTCCTGTGCACAGTTCACCTTTTCCGACTGCGCATAACACGATGGGGTGTGTTATTGAGTTCAAGGCCAGCTATGGCACGCGTCCGCTGATTGAGAAACATCAGCGCAATGGGAAGGGATGGGAGGGATGGATTAGATGTCAGATATAGCGCGCGCGCGCGCATCTAGCTGATCCCCCTCCTCTCTCCTATCTCCTCTCACTTGTCTGATCTTTCTCCTCTCACTTGTCTCCCCGTCTCACTAGGCGTCGGGGGCCGTGGCGGGAGGAGAAGGAGGAGGAGGAGGCGGAGGAGCAGCCGTGGCAACGAGAGCAGGAGACGCGGAGAAGGTGAGGAGAAGGAGTAGTTGGAGGAGTTGGAGGAGGTGGGGAGGAGGAAGAGGAGAGGAGGAGGAGGAGGAGGAGGAGGAGGAGGAGCAGCAGCAGCAGCAGCAGCCTCTTCCTCATCCTCCTCTCGCTTATTCTCTCCTATTCCTTATCATTATAGAGAATTGTTCCTTGACGCACCCCGAGGCCGGTCGAAAGGACGGGCTGGGCATTTCGTTTGAGAATTCCTTAACAGTTCTGTTCATGAAGCTTAAAACTTGGCAATTGGCAACAGCTTCGCAGATGGAGGGCGGGCCGCTTTAAAAATGTGGCTATCGCCTTAGCGCCGCGCACATTCATGTTAAACATGTGCAAGAGTCTCACAGGTAGAGGGCGGATCCCTTCCACAATGTGGCTCTCGTCTTAGCGCCGCGCACATTCGTCTTACACATTTGCACGAGCTTCACGGATTGAGGGCGGGTCGTTTTCGAAATGTGGTTCTCGCCTTAGCGCCGCGTGCATTCGTTGTAGAAAATGTAAGAGTTTTGCGGATTGAGGGCGGTTCCTTTTCAACATGTGGTTTTCGTTTCAGCGCCGTGCGCATCCGTTTTACACATGTGGAAGAGGTTCAGATATTGAGGGCAGGTCGTTTTCAAAATGTGGATCTCGCCTTAGCGCCGCGCGCACTGATTTTTAATGTGTAAAATCTTCACTGACTGAGGGCGGGCCGTCTGGTGTTTTGGAACGCTTCAAGATTGTCAGGGGCGCAACAGTTACGTTGACCCGCGGTGCTGAAGTCGAAGGGCTGGCGTTCTGGCACGATTCAGGGTCGCCAAGACGTAACAGTCAGGTTAACTCGTGGCGCTGATGCCCTAAGAAGGTGTTTTGGCACGCATTGAGATTTTCACGATTGTCCCCCAACGGCGCAGTTTCTTCAGTGGAATTGAACTTTTGTGGGGGCCTATGAAGAGGGAGCTTGGAAGAGGGTGTATTCCAACCTCGTCGATGAGTCTTGGGTTTACACTACTCCTCCTCCTCCTCAGTCCCGACGCCGCCCGCCGCACGACAGCAGCATCAGCCGCCCTCCGACACTGCCGCGACCGCCGCCTCCTCAGGAAGCACTGACGCAGAAGACCTCGAATCGACTCGTTCTCCTCCTTTTCCTCCTCCTTTTCCTCCTCCTCCTCCTCCTCCTCCTCCTCCTCCTCCTCCTCCTCCTCCTCCTCGCTGCTCCTCCTCATCGCTCCTCCTCGCTCCTCCGCATATGGGAAAGTGGGGAGCGGCAGCCGGCGGCCTGGTGGAGGCAGAGCGCCGGTGGACGTGGCACCCAGGACGAGGAGGGAGAGCCGGGCCAGTTGGCCCTGGGAGTCGGGGGGGGAGACGGGGAGTCTTTCTTTGGGAAAGGGGGAGGGGGGGGGGGGGGAGGAGGAGGAAGAAGAAGAAGGAGGAGGAGCACAGAGGAAGGAGGGGGGAGGGAGGAAGAACATTGAGGGAGGGGGGGAGGAGGAGGGAGAATCAGAAAAACCAAACAAACAAACAAAAAAGAGGGAGGAGGGGGAAGAGGAGGGAGGAGGCAGGAGGCTGAGGATGTGGATGACTGCCCCAGGGATCCCGTCTACGGGGGTGCGGGTCCTTTGTAAAGGAGGCTTCGGGGACCGTGGCGGGAGAAGGAGGGGGAGGAGGAGGAGGAGGAGGAGGAGGAGGAGGAGGAGGAGGAGGAGGCGGAGGACCAGCCGCAGCATCAGGAGAAGGAGTCGGCGGGAGAGGGGGAGGAGGAGGAGGAGGAGGAGGAGGAGGAGGGAGGAGGTGAAGGATGGAGGAGGAGGTGGAGGAGAGGAGGAGGAGGAGGAGGTTGGGAGGAGGAGGAGGAGGAAAGGAGGAAGAGGAGGAAGAGGAGGAGGAGAAGGAGGCGAAGAGGAGAAGGTAAAGGTGAAGGAGGAGGGGGGAGATGAAAAGGTACATGACATGAGGCAGATGGAACAGGTGTAGCAATTGGGAGAGGAGGAGGAGGAGGAGGAGGAGGAGGAGGAGGAGGAGGAGATGGGGAAGGAGATGAGAGAGGAAGAGGAGTAGGAGGAAGAGGAGTAGGAGGAGATGGGGGAGGAAGATGGGGAAGGAGATGGGGAAGGAGATGGGGGAGGAGTAGGAGGAAGAGAAGGATGAAGAGGAGGAGGAGGAGGAGGAAGAGGAGGAGGACAAGGACGAGATGATTTCGATTTTACAAGGACGAGGAGGAGAGAACGAGGAGGGTCATATGATTTCGATTGTAAAAGGATGCACGGAAAGGAGGAGGAGGAGGAGGAGGAGGAGGAGGAGGAGGTGGAGCGGCGACGGCAGTTGCGGCCGCGCGGTGGCGGCGCGTTGGCTCAGGCGGAGGCCGTACAGCGTGGTGGTGCTGGACGAGATAGAGAAAGCCCACGGAGAG